CTTGTTCGACACAGACTCAACACGCACGTACTCCAAGATATGCAAACTGACGAATGACTCAAATACAGATTGCAGTTAGCGCGTACCCCTAGCGGATTGATTGGACTAGACTGGACTGGTACATACGGTGGTATCGGACTGGACTGGATTGAATATTCACATGGGCTGTAGGGCCAGGCCAACGGCCTGGTCCCACAGGCTGAACAAACAAATAGCGAAATAACCCTGGTTGTAGGTTAGGAAAAATCGAGGACCGTTGCACAATCCTCGGACATGTAGTGGATCATAAAAGTTAAGGACACGCTTCCGTAAAAGCAGCGGAACTCTGTAACAAGAAAATTGACAAATATAGGATGCAAAACAAGCTCCAAGCGAAGTCCATGTGATGCAGTCTAAGCTACATGTATTATATTATAAAAAAAACAAAGGTCCAATAAAAAAATATCATAGAATTAAATAATAATTTTACAATAGAATTACATTCTAAAATTAAAATTTTCATTCCATCTTTAAAAATGTCATTATAGTGTTAAAATTTTCCGTCTAACTTGAAAACTTTCATTCTGAGAATGGGGTATCCCTTCTTGTTTGAACTGCGTGCTAGAGATGGAATGAAAGTCGGAATGAGTTTCTGAAATATTTTAATTAGATGATCATTCTATAATATAAGGATTTTCAGTCATAAATAAATTAATCCAGAGTTAATTAGAAAATATTTGTTATTGTACAATTAAAGTTTAATCAAAACATTCATAAACTCGTTCAGAATTTCATTTCATTTTCAACAAACATATGTACTTAGAAGGAAAATTGTAGACGCAAGTTTCTCAAATAAAACAAAAAATTTTAGATTTGGACGAACATTATAATGAGAATTGTTAGATACATACAATTTTTTTTAAATGAAATATTTTTTCATCTTTCATTTTTTGTGGGAATTTTTATGTTGTGTTATATACACATCCTAACTAATAACAGGGAATAAAATCTAACATGATACAATCCTAAAGCCCTAGAGGGAACTGCCTCAATGTTGAAAGGAAAATATAGCATAAGATAGTGTCATGTTGTTTAGCCACAAAGAGTGGGATGGTCTTAGAGGGGGTGAATGCAGCCTAAGAATCGAAACTTTTAGAGACAGTCACACACAAATGAGGGATAGGTCATCAGGCGAGGGAGGGGTAGTTGTAAGAAAAGAAAATCAATGATCCTAACAGATAAATCATCAAGGCGGTGTTCCACAACAGGGTGACGCTAGAAGTGCAATGGTCTCGTAGGGGTAAAGTAGGGAAGAGTTATGGTAGTTGTAGTTCAAGTTTTTGAGAAGACGTCATAAAATTGGATATATGTTCTCTTGTCCCGACCAAGCTAAGTCTTTGGCTCCTCGATGCGTATAGTCGGGCTCACGCGTCCTCATACTTTTAGTAGTTTTTTGCATACGGGGTGGATTGGGGGGGGGGGAGGGCGCGAAGCAAGGTCCCATTAGCAAAGAGGATTGAGCTAACCATGTGAATCTATATGGGTTTAATGCAGAGGTGCAAAAGAATAGATTTATATCATTTTTTGCACATATCCACACACACGCTCTGATTTAGGTGTCAAATCCAGTCTTGTTTGATAGTGGGACCTTGCTACCGAACTCCTTTTTTTTAATCTACTATCATAATCAATAAGGGAAAGTTTGCCCGATGACCCTCAAAGTTAGATTTACTTGCGCTGCGCCCCTGCAACCACCCACGTACATTGCCGCGACCCTCTAGCGACTGTTCAACTTTGCCAAAAGAATACCTAGGAATGGCTGGACCTGAAATATTTTCCTAATGCCCTAGTACCAGTACCTACTTAATTTTTCATAATTGACACGATGGATAGAAGGCCACCTGCAGTTGTTCTCTCTCTCTCCTCTTTATCTCATTTGCATGTGTGTGTGTGCACATGAGAGAGACATAGAAAGAGGGGGGGAGGAGGGAAGAGAGAGAGAGAGACCCGCTTGATAGAGAGACACCCGTGTCTGTGTGTGTGTGTGTGTGTGTGTGTG